TATATATATATATATATAATTTTTTTCTAACAATCGTTTTTTTGGGCGGGGACACATTTTGTCGGGATTTGAATCAGGTTGACTGGGTTTGAACAACACCTTCCTTTTGTCGACAGAGACTCTCCACACTTTGCTTCTTGATCCCCAAGAATATATAGAATTGTAAAAAAATTTTAAAAAGTCAGTATTATTGTAAAACACAACAGCATGAGCCTCTGGTAACCAGCACATACTTGATTGCTTGTCGAATTGGTGATGTGCCCACTGCATGCACACACTAATTGATAATAGAAGTGTGGTGTATAAATTGCTGCCTTCATGAGTGAAAACACTTTTAATATTTTCATGGCCACTTGCTTTTTTTCCCCGCTCTGAGCTCCACTTCCGAGTAGTAGCCGCTTGCCTCGTGTAATGCCCTAGCTCCACCCTTGGTCATCATGGCAATGGAAGCCATGCTCGTCCTTGACCTGGCAGTATATGGGAGTGGGGTGAACTCTTGCTACATTGTGTGATATGGAGCCGCCTTGCCAAAGTAGGCTAATTTCAGCCACACAATAATTACGGTGTTGTAAGTAGGATATAAACTATGCAAACATTCTTTATCCACTGGGATGATTGAATGAAAGCAAGTCCCTGACATGTTATTAAGACTGCGAACTGTTTCAATTAGTAGGGAAAAATACATAATTACGGTATATGTCTGAAAGTTACTTTAATTGAATGAGATACTCACTGCAACCATTTCTGAGTAGCTGTGATGCTTGAACTTCAGATAATCTACTGGAGTCACTTCATTTTGCCTGTACTGGACAACATCTGGATCTGTGTGAGCGGAAGAGAATGAAATGAATACAGCGCAAATTGGTATACACATGTGTGTTATGCTCACCAGGCAATGGGCAGCCCAGAATCTCTAGTCTCATACACAATGTGCCATTCCAGCTCTGAGGCATTATTCTGATGTAGCGGGCCACTACAGGCTCCGCCAGCTGGTTCAAGACTGGAGTGTCTGTATCACTATTTCCAAAAAACAGCTGGAGAGAGAAAAGGGAAAATGGGATTTGAGAAGTGGAACGATACACAAGATGGTAGGATTTGGGAAAGTCACATCCTTTTAGGTGAACTCACCCAGTCAGCATATCCATCATGGATGGTTGTCCACTCCCTGCTGTCATTGCTGAAAGCCAGGAAGTACGACGTCACAAAGTCACTCCTGCAATGACACAAGGGGCATGTCTAATTTCAAGGAGGCCCAAAGGAAGAGAATGGGAATTGTTTTCACATGTGTTTTAATGACTCACTCATTCTGCGAGTTCCGACCCTGAGTTATGACTCCCGTGAACTCAGTCTCACTCCGAGCGTCAATTTCGAACCAGTGAACTTTGTCCTCTGAGTTTGCGCACCATGCTCCGCCTCGAGGGTTATCTTCATCATCTGAGCCCTGGAGCCAGCGAGACAAGTCAAGATTGCTGGAAAGCCTTTGTTGAGTTATACGTTAAACATTTCTTAAAAATTGCACAAAACATCAATTCCCCACTGGTGTCATGCTTCTGCTGTGATATAATCACTCTTCGTCATTTTGACTGGCACCTCCAGAGAAACAAGAAGCTGTATACTGTGATACAGTATTTTGGAATTGCTTTGAACATTGTGAAGGTGTACCTAATCTTATGGCCTCCTGTCTTTCTTGCAACCAAAGCTGTAGAAAATGTCATTTGAATCAGTCTAACAAAATGTCATGAGGGGGTGAAAAAACATCTCATATGGACAGCTCAGCTCTCCTCAGATGGTCTGGTTAAATAAATAAATAAATAAATAAATAGATAAATACTGTCATGGAGTCTGCAGTTAATTATTTGGTCGCATGGGTCTGATGACTAGAGTGTGTTTCCAGACTTGAGTGGGAAGTAAGTGATGTCTGAGCTGTTTGCGCACTCTGATTGATGTGTACCTGCATGTTGAGGCGTGCCCTCTGAGGTGCAAAATCATACTGAGACATCGAGGAGGCGGAAAGCTGATCTGGCTCGATCCGATGGGACTCCATTCCCAGGGGAGGACATTCTGACACAAACACACACAGCATATGCATATAGAACGAATAGTCATACAGTATGTGGAAAAAAAAGAAAGCTCACACAATGTTTCCCTGACCGTGGACGACATTTGACTCACTCTTTGGTTCTTTGTAGACACGTGGTCTGTTCCTGGCTCGCTCCTCAGCCTCCTTCAGTCTCTGTGCTCTCTCTGGCAGAGGTCAGAAAAACAGTCTTTAAAAAGAAATTCCGCAGCATTGGTCCCAAATCACCCCTCTGCTTACTCAACCAAGAACTCATCAGGGGGGAATCATCACTGTTTTTGCACATTACTCACATCAGTAATGTGCAAAAAGTCCCGATGAAAAGGAGACAAGTTAAAAAAAAGGGGCGCGGGGGGAACCTTTGCTCTGGTCAAAGTGCACCTTTAAAACAAAAATTAGAATTGGATCTTGCGCTGGGAATTTGCAGGTTTTGATGATTTTATAATTTCATTTTAACAGCGTGTTAAAAAGAGTCTCCAGCAGATAACTCTCACATTCTTAAAAATTCTGCTTTTACAAAGATAATCATTCTCCATTGGTATTGAAGGAGTTATTATCCAGCTATTCATTTGACAATCCAAAGTATGTTTAGTATTGTTATTGGTGGTGAGGAATTGCCACACTATGTTTTGTTTTTATATTCTGTTTCGTTGAAAATGTGTTCAATATTTTGCAACTATTGCCTCATAAACAGCTGTAAAATATCCAGTGGGGAAATGATGTATGACTATTTTTATGGACTAATTTTAGAGATGGTCAATATATTACAAAGATGTTTATTTTGTGATAAAAGCACAAGATTTGGTAGATGTGTTGATGGATGTGTGTCAAACATATATGGATATTGGGTCATTCATTCCCAACCACTAGTGGCCATAGGAGCCGTTTGATCATTTAAAATGACAACAATTACTGTGCAGCACAGACAGTGCTCACGAAAAGTTAGGGATATTTGACTTACTGGTGAACTTCCAAGATGAACTTTAAATAGATTACTGTATAAACTTTACAGGTGAACTTAATTTGACGCTTTCAAATTATTTGAATGTACGTCAAACTGTCCATTGTTTCTGTTTGCTTTGCTCAACTTGCTGCTTACTGAGAAGGAGCTCAATGGTAACATGAAAATTTTTTCAGGTTTATTTTCAAGCACATTCACATATATGCCTTTCTGTGACTCTTCCAGTCTCTTTATACATCCGTTGCAATGCGCTGATGACACTCTGTGACCACAAATCCTGTCTGAAGGGTAAAAATGGCGAGGTCTTGCTGATCAAGTGTTAGGTGTCATCTTGGTCTCATGAGGTCACAATAGGAACAGTAAGATGACCAGGACTGTTACATTTTTAATTGAATCAAGAAATGTTTTGGTCGATTAATGAATCAAATCCTGTTTGCCGACAGGCAGTTCACCAACTCGATGCGAACATGTGGCAAGCATTTGAAAGTGGCAACGGCTTTCGTACGAAATGAGATGTCCTGTGGTCCGTTCCGTATCGCTCCCTGCCTCAAAGTACAAGGTCAGTGTTCCATTTATTCTGTATATTCAGCATGCTGGAAATAACAAGTCCAACAATGTAATGCGGCAAGTTTTTTCCTCTCTTTTTTTAAGGAGCAACCAAAGAATACAAGCCAAAGACGAGGTCGACAGAATGTGAAGGAGAATGACATGCTGTCCAAATTTCTTTAGCACTCATGTTCCATTGTGCTACATATTAATAAAAGCCTTTTCCACTTTCAAGTTAGCTCTCATAAAATATTGTAGTTAGTGCTGGCAGCCGTTTTGGAAAATTGCTCTCACCCAATATCTAGATTCATTTAACATCGAGTAAGCAATGACTTCAAATAAATTTGATGCTTTCATTACGAAACAAACAATAGTTTAGCCGTGCCATCCCACCGAGCTCAATGCACTCAAGTCATGTGGCAAACTATTGATGAGAACGTTTGCTGTTAAAAGCAAAAGTCAATTTGCATAGTGGCAAATCACATCTGTCTTCTTTTATGCGGGTAATGTGATCCAACGGGAGGGAACGACGCTGTTATCTATTACTTTTGCACTTGGGTCACAGGCCATGTTCACTCTGGCAAGCACAGGACCATATGTCAAGTCATCTGGTATGTTGCTGATAAACAAAGAAAAGTAAAAAGAGAAAAGAAGTTCCAAGTTTGGAGTCCTACCTCTCTGTTCCCTCTCCCTTTCTTTTTGCGCTCGCTCTCTTTCCTTCTCCATCCATTTATCATCAGTTTCATCTTCCTTTTTCCCTGCAGACAATGACAAAATGGAGGATAATTGGCGTTTATTGAACCATCGAATCTCTGTGTATGCTATTGGGATTCTATAATTGTAGAAAAAGGTCGTACCATTTAAGCCAAGAGTTATTTGGAAAGTTAGTGTCCAGACAGTGCTTCATATGAAACATTTGGTCATGGAAAGTCATTGTGCATGTGTGAGTGGGTGGCTGGATTAGCACACGTGTGTGTCACATACTCATTCCATATTCGTCGTATTCCTCGTACCAATTGTCCTCAAAGGGTGGAGTATTTGTCGTCTCTTCTACAGAAAAAAGATGAGCAAACATGAAGTTGTTTCGCATTTCATGGGATGACTGATTCTGCGATTCATAAAACGTCTCAACTGGTCAACCACAACATCTGTTTGGATGAAGATAAACACTGTCTTGTTTAAAAATTGAATCTGTTTAAATTTACAGGAATGACAACAGTGTATGTTTTGATTGGACCTCAAGCTTGAGAAAAATAAAACACACACACACACACACACACACACACACACACACACACACACACACACACACACACACACACACACACACACACACACACACAAACACACACACACACACCACTCTGGAAAGTTTGGTCTGTGAGGCATGCAACCACCCCCTCCTGTCTGAAAAGTAGGACAGACTCACTTTAACGTTATTCTCATGTGCTGAATTAGTCATTATTTCTCACAAGCTTTCATCCCGATCCCGACAACACAGATGGAGGCAATATTGAATCTATCTGCACGGTCAATCGAGAGGTGAGAGCCTCCGCCTGAATGCGCATCACAATGTCAGCATCCTGATTGATGAGTGGTCCTTTCATCTCACTGGCATTTTTGAGTGACAGCGTCTACCTGGGAGAGTTTCTACTTTTATCTCGGGGCTGACTTCTTCACCATCTGGGAGTGGAACTTTCTCTGGCACTGCAACTGTAGCCACAAAAGACGAAATCAGAGATTCAATCAACTCAAAAAGCCTTACATGAGTTTTCAAGTTGACTGTACAAGTACATTCCTATAGTCTTCGATGTAATTAAACTGATACTGTTGACCGGGGTGTTAAACCCATTTTCGTCGCGGGCCATATTTTAGTTAACATTTCACTTGGAGGGCCATTATGACTGAAATCAAATAAAGAAGTCAAGAATAACAGTTTATTCAACTGTTGTTTAAGTTACTGTAATGAGGTGTTTGGCAACAAGAAAATGCTTACAATGTCTCCCATATATATTACATATGAGAATTTGAAAATTTGGGACATATTTTAGCAAGCATCATGGAAGTTTGATTTGCTTTCGCAGGCCACATTAAATGGGTGTCGGGCCAGATCTGGCCCCCGGGCCTTGACTTTGACACCTGTGCTGTAGACCATATTTGCAATGCCTAATTGACTTTCGCATACAGTACATGTGGAAAACTGAAAATGGATTTTCTAAATCTGTGAGGAATTTAATAGAGTAAAAAAAAAAAAAATTCCAAATATTTTGGCATGTTCGAGTTACTATAAAGTAAACTTGGTGATAGTAACTGCTCAGCTTGATATGCGGAAAAAGTATTGCTCAAGAGTTTTCACTTAGTGGATAAAACAATACAAATATGGTACAGTAATACTTTGAATATCCATTCATTTTGTATATTTAGAAGAATATGAATGGAAAATGACTGTCTATGACGGCCTGAAGTTGTACACATCTTTATCAGAGAACAATCAGTTAACACAGTGCATAATAATGCATGCATCACACATACCCGCGCACACACAGACATCCAGACGCACACTTTTTTGACCCTTATTGTCAAACTTGAGACCACAGTAGACTGAGCCTAGAAGGTTTTTTTGCTTTTACTTTATCCACTGATGCACGCTGGTATTAAAGAAATGAGCCAATTTTTTTTTTCTTTGCGCAACTTAAAATGTTTCTTTCAAAAATGCTCTTCTTTACAAGTTTGAGGCTGGCCGTCAAGAATGATGCATGCGATGAGTTTGACACCTGGAGTGACCTTTCACATTCATCTCTTGAAGGCGTTTCTTGTCACCGTGCACGCCAGCAGGATACACGTGCATGTGCAACATGTTTGAGTGACTCTGAAAATAGTTTGGCAGACGGTCAGGGTCCACTTTCACCCCGAAAGTCCATGCAATTCAATCTACCGATTGGTCTTATAATTGTTGGATTTGTCTTTATAGCCGCAGTCAATGAGCTTGCACATTCATATCACACCCAAGTCTCCAATATACGTGACTTCAGACCTATTCATTAATCGTTAGTAGTTGCTAAAGTGTGTGAAGACTTGTCAAACTTCATGATGATTCTACGGGTCATGATTAACAGGGTCCCTAGAAAATAGTATTTTGGATTTAGGGCAATGGGGCCCAAGGCCAAATCCTCACCTGCCCGAGGCATTAACCTGAATTTGAATTTGAAGGTTTTTTTGTTCCGCTATTTTCTCACTCTCCGTCCACACACACAGAACAATCAGCCACTCGCAGGACATTCCTTGGAAGTGACAAATAAAGAAAAAAGAAAGCAGCAGACATACATGTGGAATCCCAGTAATCACTGTCGTCTGTCCCAGTCTTCTTATCAACCGCCGGGCCAGCGGGTGTTGGGTCTTCCTCTTTCCAGTAGATTTCATAGTCATCGGTCTCTGTTGGCGACGGATATGTTCCGTCAGGTTTCCAGTAGTCTTCATCGATGTCCGTTACTGGAGGGTATGGGTCTGTCTCGTCGGGTTTCCAGTATTCTTCTTCGGGGTCCGTCACTGGAGGTGACGGGTCTTTTTCCTCTAGTTTCCAGTCTTCTTCTTCATTGTCTGTAACTGGGGGCGATGGGTCTTTCTCTTCCGGTTTCCAATACGTCTCATCTGTTTCTGTCACCGGAGTGTATGGGTCTTTTTCTTCTGGCTTCCAGTATTCTTCTTCTGCGTCCGTCACTGGGGGTGATGGCTCTTTCTTCACTGGGTCCCAGTCGAAATCATCTTCTGTCACCGGATCCACTGAATCTTCCTCCTCTGGCTTCCAGTAGTCGTATGGAATATCTGTGACCTCCGACGCTGGTCCGGATGGAGTGGGATCACCCTCCCAGTAGTCATCCTCTGGCTTCCAGTATTCATTGTCTGACGGGGAAAACACACAGAGAGACTCAGTGATCTTAGAGATACCTTCATTGCCTGCCACTTTTTTAAATAAAATGCTGATGGATTCTATTCATTCGAACAATTAAAGTTCCCTGTTATGCATATCGTTATTGGATTGAAGTGTGTGGTTGTGCTACTTGGGACCTTTCATATTTTGTACTGCAGAATTAAATAAGGTATTTGCAATCTTTCCTCACAGTACACAGCTCACAGATATTGTACAAATAGGGGCAAAATGGTTTGTGTCACTTAAGCAGTAGCCTCAAACGCAGGAACTTGACATGAGATGTTTCAGTTTGAAAATATACTGCACCTTATTCATCCTGGAAAGGTGCAAATGGTTACCTTAGAGTCCTATAATTAGCCCTATGCTAGTGTATATTGTAGTCCGAAATCAACTTCGCTAATATTTAAGCATGTTGGTGATGATTAAATGAGCAACTGACCAATATCAGGGTAGACGTAGTCGGTGTAAGTCTCAGGTTCTGTGGGCGGTTCGGTTGGGATCGCTGAAGACGGCACATCGACACAAAGTCAACAACCTCTCATTGACACGCTTCTAAGTACAAACTTGGCTCCTAGTTTGACCTGTTGTGGTGGGTGGAAGAGTCGTAGTTGTCGTTGTTGTTTGTCTGTCCTTCTTCCTCCCTTTCTTCTCACTTTTGGGTTTCTTGGTGGCTTTGGGGTCCTTGGGCTCTTTGTTCTTTTTCTTGTCCTTTTTCTTCTTTTTGCCCTCCTGCGGTGCTCTTTTCACTCTGCCAAAATTACCTTAATATAGGAACGCATCAAAAAATTATTTGTCCAACAATAAACATGAGTCTCAATGAAGCACCTGCAAATGCTCTCTTTACACATAGACACAAAACAGGTAGCACAACAAGAAAATGTAAATGAGAGAGAGCCAAGAGAAAAGGTCACAGCGACCTGATGGCTTAGCTTAAGCCACCTGTCAACTTATTTGTGCCAACTATGCCTGATCTAGCAGGCAAAAATGCAGCAAAAAGTGGATATAATGGTTATTATATGGCCATTGATAGATGAACAAAGATATATTATCTGTGGGAAGTAAACAATTTTGACAACAATTAGGTGAAACATGATAATAATAATAAAAAGTCGACACACCCCTCTTCAAATGCCCAATTTTTGTGATATAGAAATTAGAAACATTCAAAACATTTTCTACCATTAATGGGACCTCAATCTCTCTCTCTCTTTAAGAGGGGAAGTTAAAAGATAGAACTGACTTCAACAAGTGTGCACGCACTGGGTTGTGTTTGTGTTCCAAATCAACCAATCATGTTCAAACTCATGTTAAATGGGAGTTAGCACACACCTGCTACCATGTAAAATGCATTTGATTGACCCGCAAATAAATTACAGCTTGTAGTAGGCTTTTACTCTCATTATTTTATATCGCACCATAATGCATTTTCCCACACGTATTGGGGAGATTTCGTTTTACTTTTTACTTAATTTCCGTAATTTAGGAGGGCGTGCACACCCTAATTGAGTTGTGTAGCTTAAAAGTCACATTAATGGTGGAAAAAGTTTGGAAACTATTTATCTTGGTCTCACTCTTCGAAAAACCTGGCTTTTGAACAGGGGTGTGTAGACTTTGTATATCCAGTCGATAGTGACAGGCAGAAATATTAAATGACTGCAGTCGCAGAGTAAATTGAGAGGTCGCCGTTATGTCTGTACACTTTTTCACTATATGTTGGTGTGCTGTGAGATTTGTGAAATAGTAGTTGCCTTCTCTCAATCAAGATGGCAAAACAGTGGTTTAGACTCTAGACAGCTAAACTAATTCAGAGCTCAGCAGAGGTTCTTTCGTATTTCCTTCAGGCCAGGGGCTGCCTGCTGTTCTCAGACATTTCCATGGAAAAACCCTCTTTCCATGAGCCACACAGTTTCAATCACACAAATCCCACCGATTCAACAATAAATACATCACCGGCACCTCAGCGGCATCTTGCCCGCTGAAAGGTACAGCCATTTGTGGGAGACATTACGCAGCTACTTGGGCTTGATGTGTATTACACGTGAGGCCCTTCTCGTCTTCTCATACATCCTGAGTGTTTAAACATACAGGGTAAAAGCAATAGAAGCAGTGGAATGCATGGCTTTTATTTGTCGTCTGTGTGCATCAAAGTGTTTCTAATTAACCAGCATGTAACTAAGATCATCATTAGAATCTGTAGAACAGTTCATTTTTAAATGAAGACGATGTCATTTGCTCTTATTTCATCTAGTTTCTCTTTCAATAGCAATGTGTGATACAACACAGACGTCCGAAGTTTATGAGACTGGCTACATAGATCGGCATAATTGCTCATGATATTCACTTTGATATTTTTGCTGGTCGACTTGTTTCTTGGCAGAATTCCCATGGTTCACTTTTTAAGAAATGCAAAAAAAAAAAAAAAGTTGGCCTGTCAGCCACACCCACTAGATGGTTTGAATGGCAAACCGGAGGAAAGTCAGATTGACATTCAACTGACATTGAGAATGAGTGAAATAAAAAAAAAAAAAAAATACACATTGAAATGAAATACGCCATCTGCTGGATCTGGTAGGGCACTGTCGTCACTGCCCCAAGTGCACGGTCCTGAACGTTACTGACCTGCCTCCACTGTGGCCTCAATGTTGATGCTCTCCACTTGGCCTGCCTCACTTTGAGGCTCATCCTGAAGAAGATCCCCTTCTTGCTCGTCTTGTTCACGCTGCAACAGGGACACAATCCCCCCGGCGCTCTCCCCTTGTCTGGGGGTCAGCAGGCAGCAGAGGGCCAGCAGGGCCGCAGACAGAAGCACCGTCTGGCTTCTCATGCCTGCAGCTCTTCCGATCGCAGTATCCTTTTAATTTGTTTCGGAGCTCCTTTTATCCTTTATCCAGCAGAAGTTTTATATTTGAGCCTTGCTTCCTGTGTGGAGCCCCAGAGTCAAACAGACTCAGACTGGGCTCGACGGAACGGGAGTGGGATGGGGGTAGGGATAGAGGGGAGGGAAGGAGGTGGCTTAAACAAAGACACCAGAGAGATAGACGGCAAAGCAGACATTCGGTCAAATGAAAAGCTTCTGTTGCTAACTGCCCTGCAGCTCAGGTCAGCTGAAAAGACAACGAGAGGCAAGAGGGTCGCTGTCACCTGCCGGACGAGTCACAACAGGTGCAGGGCTCACTCACACACACACACACACACACGCACACGCACACGCACGCACGCACGCACACACACACACACACGGGAGGTGTGGTGGAGAGGATGAGGGAAGGCAGGTAAAAGCAAACTGTGCACACTCCTGCATTTTGCACCGAAAGAGGCAGGAAGAGCTTCTTCTTGTTCTCCACTATGGAGAGTTGCAACAAGCAAAAATGAATGACTCCCACAGGTCATTGAATTCCACAAAAGGATGGGGGAGGAGGCAGGGGGGGAGAAACATTAGTGGGACGATAGGGATCGTGTGTGAGTGTGTGTGTTTTCATAAAACCATAAAGTACCAAACATCAGAGCGGGGATTTTTAGTAAATGAAAACAGACACGAATGACTTGTCCTCTGCAGTTGGGAATCGAAGTCTGGTCTCTGTCACTACTTCCCACCCAAGAGATCATGTCAGCTCTTTCAGCACTTCAGAGTTGTTTGAGCCCAACACGGGATTAGAACATTTGAAAAGGTGATGCTTTCTTTGCCCTCCTTCTTATAATCATGTAAATTCTGTCATGCTCGGCAGGAGTCGACCTTTCACTGTATGTGGCTATTCTCAATGAATAAAATTCCTTGGAACTTACCGGCATGTTGTCGGAAGTGAACACGGAAGCGCCTGACCCCTGATCGACAGCACATAATGTTCTTTTGTTGTTAAACTCACATTTAAAAGACTATCGATTTCTTATCACGTGAAGGGACCATGTTCTCATGCCTTCCAACAAGAAAAAAATACAAAGAAAATAGAAGTGTCCGCCAATGAATGTTAACTCAGAAAGTATTCCAGTACTTCGAAATGATTCCAGCTTGACTTTTGAGTGTTTAACAGCTGTGCTTGATTAAACAATTGAGACACAAACACAGCCAAATGCACAAAAACACGATGTTTATACCATCCGACATTGTGATGGCAGTGGAGCAAAAGAAAGATAATAAGGTATGTTGGGGTTATGACTTTGGCTGAAAAGTATGAAGCAGATACAGTCAGGTCAAGCGGAGGCCTTTGAAACGCGCAGAATATAGACATACTAACTTGGTTTCCGTTACGGTAATTCACTCCACAGAGAGTAATAGTAAAGTAATAAGACACTATATTAAGAGAGAAAGGCCTGACGTGAATATTGCACAATTTATCTTGGATAGATTTTTATTTTTGGAAAGAGGCCAAACTGTGCATGAAGTGAGTCGCTGTAAACTGTTTAGTAAATATGTTAACAAATATTGCTGTCCATAATATTTCTGTGGTCAATAAAAATGTTTTTTTAACATCCTTTCGCTCCAAATCAGTCTCCTCTGTAAATTAATACTTCACTTTTCAGAGTTTTGAATACTGCATACAGTGTATATAGTATTGGAACAGATTACAAAAGATAGCAAGCCTTCTGCTGCAGCCGAGCAAAACAATATATGTGATAATCAACCCAGCTGCGGCACACGATGAAAGGAAAAACTATAATGTATACCACTCAAGTCAACATCAAAGGATTGTAAAGTGGGCATGAACACTCCTTGAATTACTCCTCTCATTACCTCGAAAGCACATCCATCAAACAGTCTTTTCGCGTAAAGATTTCCAGAACTTCCAATAGACCACCATTTAAATGTGAGTATGCCACGCAAAGAGAATGGACTCATACAAAAAGAACAGAATGAGTACAGAAATCTCACAAAACTTGAATGACTAACAAAATTAGTGTTCTGATGTCCCATTTCAGCTTTTAATATATGGAGGTGGTCATGTGCATGATCGGTCATAGCGCTGTAGGCTTGGGGTCTCGAGTGGCGTGTCAGCATCCAGCAGGCAGGAAACAATGACATCAGGGAGAGAGTAGGAGGGAGACGGGAGAGGAGGGGTGTATGAGTGAGAGAAAAGTGCAGCAATCCAGCAGGCTCACAAGGTGCAAATGGAAACAGGCAAACAGGTTCACAAATCTTCAGCCCGTAATATTCTGCCCATTCCCGCTAGATACAAAGACTTATGTCAACAGATACCTGAAGTGTTAATACTCTCCATGAGATTGTCACATTTTATCGAGCTCTATCTTCCAAAATCACACACACACACACACACACACACACACACACACACACACACACACACACACACACACACACACACGGACCCAAGGTTGGAAAAAGACATGCAAGGAGTGAAATCATAGCATATAAATAGCTGCATTAAGAATAGGCTATGGATATGATTTTGACTGGGATGAGATAAATGCCTGAAATATTTTTTCCATGGTGTGTGTGCAGTGATTCAGCAAGTCGGCTACAGCGCAGTCATCTGGCTTTGGGCTCTGATTAAGCACAGATGTAGTTGCAAACAGCTCTCGGATTCCTTTGGAGGCACACTAACTTCATGACCGAGCACCAAAATCCCCCTTGCACACGCTGCTAAATATTATTTTGAAACGGGGGGTTGGGGTTGTGAAAAAATGCAGTACAAGCACTATTGAGGGCTTGCTTTAGTGAGTCTGAGTAATGTTTCCCCAGTGAGGATCTGACAAAGCTGGAACTCAGATTGAGACCTTAAATTGTGTTGAAACAACAAAATAGTATCAGTGTAACAGCATGATGGCCTCATGGGAATTTACAATGGTCAATGCCTCCATAGTCAAAACGAGAATCAAAGAGGGTGGCCTACATGTCTCTAATGTCTCTTTCAAAAAAAAAAAAAAAACAAGAGTTTACGTACATTACATGAAAGTCTAAAAAAATTTACTGAAATGAATACACTAATAAGTAGCTCTATAGATCGTAGCATACTGACAACCACATCATTAAGCATAAATTAATGTCATTTAATCTTACACACAAAGTATAATTTTTAAAAATCTGTTCAGTGTAGAGTGTCCACAGTTTTGATTGACGCTGTCAGAGAATAAATCAAATTTAAAGAGAATATTAAAAATTTAACACTGCACATATTGTTGTAATTGAACAGGCTGTGGGCAAGACTCAGATGTTTTGTTTCACTAACTTCAGTGCAGTCTTAGAACGACTTTGGGAGACACAATAAACCAACTTTGTCGGGAAATTATCACATTTATATAAAAAGAACACAGTAAGGCTCATTACAACAATATGAAAGCAATTGGAATCACAAAGACGAAGAAATTGAACAACACCAAGTCTGAGTCAATCCCAGAACATCTACTTTCATAAATGTTCGCATTGACAACAGTGACACAATTAGATGCAATACTTGCGTGGATGTGTCAGTCAAAAATCAACATCGGCTGATTAATTGTAAGCATTTTTTTATGTTTGTTTGGCTTATGCTGTGCCCTAAATTGCTCTCAACCAAGTCCGTTTTTTTTTTAGCCCGATTCGATTTTGTTGGGCTCGTAGCAAATAGCACCCTCTAGTGGTTAAACTGGAGCACATCAAGAAAGCCTCAGATTCTACTTTATTGGGATTACACATCACACGAACAAGGTATCGAGCTCAAGTGGAGAAGCAGTACTTAAATCGCATACTGTATATTCTAGGTACCGTTCAATGGCTCAAGATATAGTTTTTCCAAAAAATCTTGCTCACCTCTTCTAAAAATATGCTGAGTCAGAACCAAGAACAATTGGATTTACAATATTTGCTCATTCAAATCAGTGCCATAGTGTAAAACACCATGTACAAAACAAATTACACAGGATGGCGATAGTCTTTAGTTTTCAACAGCGTTTATTTAGTTTTCTCCATACAATACATTTAATGTACAACAGCACATACTGTATTCTGAAATAACGCTCAGTATAAAATAGGGCATCTACAATCAAGGTACAGTCATAAAATGCTCAGAGGGACATGACAAAGACCGTGACAGCAAAACACCTTCAAAGAGTATAAAGCGTAGGGGTGTTGTAGAGATGTGATTGTATTTGCCGAGCCACTGCTGGATCGCAATCAGAACTTCAGATGGCACCTCTTGGTGCGTATGGCATCCTGGTAAAACCCGTTTGTTTCTCTTTTCTCTCTTGGTAAGAGTCATGCAACACGAGGAGAGTTCAAAAGCCAAATATAAATTCTGGGACATCTGCTGATGAGCAAGGTTTGGCTGGAAACGAGAAGATGAATTCGCATTGTCTGGATACTTGAAAGCATACGCAGTTTAATGACCAGAGCTTTACAATCATACGCTGGCTGAGCAGTTTGTAACCCCAAAGACTGGATCGTTTCTCAGTGTTTGCCTCACACCGAACACTTAAATCACAACAAATGATACTCCACCATCAGCGAAGCCACAAGAAAACTGGCTCATTCCAACATGGCTGAGAGAAACCAAATCAAAGTTTAGTAGAAAGTGCTTTTAATTTGCAGACGGCTATGGGCCTATATAGTGATAATGTCTTTTTAAATAGTACACACATAACATGGACCTGCTTCTTCTAGTTTGCCACGAGTATGTCGTGCTTGAGCTGTTTAACATCCTTTACATTATATAACGAGTCCAGTTGGGGAAAGAGAAGGCCAAAGTACAAGCAAACATCAAAACATGTACTGAGAGGCCTAACAAATATCAGGACAGAGTGAGAGAGAAAGGAGAGATTTGTCTTAAATTCTTGAGGTAAGCAATGTATTTTAGTATAATGCCCTACAGACAATCATACATCTTACAATCATTAATTCTCTATGTACAAACTTCCTGATTTACATACACTGTACTGCTCCTCAGCTTCAAAATGAAGAAAACCAAGCGCGGGATCAGTGTGGTGCAATGTTTGGGATGAGGAGGCGGGAGGGTTCAGGTGACCTGACTTGATGAGGTGGCCGCAAATGA